CGCTAGGGACATCCTCAAAAATAATTCCGCCGGCCCTACTCCCGCACGTAATTTATCGCAGAATAATTTCGCCGGCCCATCAGCCGTCAGATCCGGGGGTAAACCTCTAAAAGAGAACCCTGGGCTCGAGCCCTTTCCGGGAAAAATAGTTTGGAGACGATTCGTTGACTGTTTTTCCCAACCAACTTGTGTTGTTGGGTCCTCGTTTTGAAGAGCCGGTGCCCCGCGTCTCCTTCCTCCCGCTGCCCCCTCCCTCCCCTCCCACACCCATTCTGGCACACCCCTCACACGTTTCGTGGCCCCATCAGGAGCTCCACCGAAGGCCCCAGTGGCTGCGTTCGCATACGGTTCCACCCCCCATTTTGGCACACCCCTCACACGTTTCGTGGCCCCATAGGGAGCTCCACCGAAGGCCCCAGTGGCTGCGCTCGCATGCGGTTCCGCCCTCCATTTCGGCACACCCCTCACACGCTTCGTGGCCCCATAGGGAGCTCCACCGAAGGCCCCAGTGGCTGCGTTCGCATGCGGTTCCTCCCCCAATTTCGGCACACCCCTCGCACGCTTCGTGGCCCCATAGGGAGCTCCACCGAAGGCCCCAGTGGCTGCGTTCGCATGCGGTTCCACCCCCCATTCTGGCACACCCCTCACACGCTTCGTGGCCCCATAGGGAGCTCCACCGAAGGCCCCAGAGGCTGCGCCCGCATGCGGTTCCACCCACCATTCTGGCACACCCCTCACACGTGTCGTGGCCCCATAGGGAGCTCCACCGAAGGAGTCCACTCCAAGGCCCAGTGGCGCGATCTCGCACACCCCTTACACGCCTTCGTGGCCCCAAGGGGCAGCTCACTCGAAGGCCCCAGTGGCAGGGTCCGCATGCCTCCCCACCACCCATTTCGGCACACCCCTCACACGTTTCGTGGCCCCATAGGGAGCTCCACCGAAGGCCCCAGTGGCAGGGTCCGCATGCCTCCCCACCACCAATTTCGGCACACCCTTCACACGCTTCGTGGCCCCATAGGGAGCTCCACCGAAGGCCCCAGTGGCTGCGCGCGCATGCGGTTCCACTCCCCATTCTGGCACACACCTCACACGTTTCGTGGCCCCATAGGGAGCTCCACCGAAGGCCCCAGTGGCTGCGCCCGCATGCGGTTCCACCCCCCCATCTGGCACACCCCTCACACGTTTCGTGGCCCCATAGGGAGCTCCACCGAAGGCCCCAGTGGCTGCGCCCGCATGCGGTTCCACCCCCCATTCTGGCACGCCCCTCACACGTTTCGTGGCCCCATAGGGAGCTCCACCGAAGGCCCCAGTGGCTGCGCCCGCATGCGGTTCCACCCCTCATTCTGGCACACCCCTCACACGTTTAGTGGCCCCATAGGGAGCTCCACCGAAGGCCCCAGTGGCTGCGCCCGCATGCGGTTCCACCACCCATTCTGGCACACCCCTCACACGTTTCGTGGCCCCATAGGGAGCTCCACCGAAGGCCCCAGTGGCTGCGCCCGCATGCGGTTCCACCCCCCATTCTGGCACACCCCTCACACGTTTCGTGGCCTCACAGGGAGCTCCACCAAAGGCCCCAGTGGCTGCGTTCGCATGGCGGCGCCGCGCCCAATTCGGCACACCCCTCGCACTTTTCGTGGCCCCATAGGGAGCTCCACCGAAGGCCCCAGTGGCTGCGTTGGCATGGCGGCGCCGCACCCAATTTGGCACACCCCTTTCACGCTTCGTGGCCCCACAGGGAGCTCCACCGAAGGCCCCAGTGGTTGCGTTGGCATGGCGGCGCCGCACCCATTTCGGCACACCCCTCACACGTTTCGTGGCCCCATAGGGAGCTCCACCGAAGGCCCCGTGGCAAGGTTCATATGCCTCCCTCTGCTTAATTTCACACACCCCTTACAGCGCGGCACACCCCTTACAGCTTCGTGGCCCCATAGGGAGTTCCACGGAAGCTCCCAGTGGCCTTGCGTTGGCATGGCGGCGCGCGTTCGAAGGAGATTGTTTCACTTATTGGGTACAACAGCTGCATATGGTTTGGTCCTTCGCTAGGCTAATTTTGTCATGTTGCACATTCTTCGAGTATGTTTTAAATTTTTCGTCGAAAATCTGCCTGTTGGGGGGCATGCCCGACTTAATGTTACCCTCGGGAGATCGTAGGCGGATCTTGCGAGCTGGCAAGCCTTTGAACGGATCTGGCGCGAGAGTTTCGGGAGCGGAGAGCTCAGACCGGCACCAGCCTGCGAGGAAGAGTTGTTCCGCCCGGAGTGCCAGGACGTCTTCAGTTTGCCTTACGTGCTTGACGGAAGGACCCCACCCTGTTCCCGCGTGTTCCGAAAAGGTTTGATCGACGCGGGCTTGTTCTCCAAGCATCCGCTTAAGTCGGGTACGTCCCTCTACAGGAGGAATATTCGAAAATAGTCAGAAAATAGTCTGGGGACGATGTTTCGACTAGTTTCTGACTGTTTTTGAATAGTTGTTGGCTATGCTTGATTTTGTTATTCCAAAAGCCGCCTATAGGAGGACTTGCCCGACCGAAGCATACGCCCCTGCTGCCTCTGAGGAGCCGAAGGTCGAGGAGAAGGCGGATGAGGGCAACGCCGTGATCGTCTTGACGTCGGGGAAGTTCCGGACGGCCGAGACCAAGTGCATCATCAATGAGGCTTTGCATGCGTTCTCCATCAGCGTCGATGAGGAGCGCCGATCGACAATCCTCCAGATGGTTTCCGAAGGGTCTAGGAATTCCATCGTCCTCCTCAGTTGTCCTTCGAATATTCGTGCCTATGCAAGCCTCATTATGCTCGGCCCGACCCATCCGCCTCATCATTTCGAGCCTCATTTCGCCTAGAGACCGTAAACAGCATGCGCCATAGGTTGCGCTGCATACTGCGCAAAATAAGTCGCGGTGTCCACACTCTGTCCATAGGCTGCGCCAGACACCCCGCGCACTCCGAAATCGCCATTTCACCCCCCCTGTCTGCCTTCCACAACTTGCGCCATTTAGATTTCGCCAAAACAGCCCACGCTCTACCAAATCACGATGCCCCCACCTTGTCTACCCTCCATACGTCGTGCCATGGGCTGCGCCAGACACCCCGCACACTTCCAAGTCTCAGTTCGCATATTCTGTCTACCGTCCACAGGTTGCGCCGCAGGTTTCGCAAGACAGCCCCAAACACCTGGTCGATCTTTCATACGCTGCTCCATTTGACTCGCCAGAAATTCTGCACACTACCAAATCGCGACTACCATACTCTGTCTACAGTCCATAGGTTGCGCCATTGGCTGCGTCATCTATCTTGGTATTGCGCCAGACACCCGGCGCTCTCCCAATTCAAGATTCCCCCCTTACGTTTAAATTCCGAAGTTTCCAGTCTGCACTCCACAGGTTGCGCCATAGGTTTAGCCAGTCCGGCCGCGCCCTGCCAAACCGCAAGTCTCGACGGCTCGCGTATCCACACCAGCCAACAATTATAATGTGATTTACGTTGCCCAAGAAAGCGTTTGAACGTGCAGTGTTCTGATATCCTCTGGTAGGTTGACGTACCTCTCGTAGGGGCGTCGCGAAGGCAGTCATGGCTGAATCCTGAGACTTTCGTGGCTGCGGACAGTCGCGAAGAAACCAGGAGTCAGCAATAAAGACATTCGAAGCTTGGTGCTGTCTTGGGGCTTCGTGTGGGCGTTTTTGGCAGCCTGTGGGGCTCTCTTGGGACTCTTTGGGACCCCGAGAGCCCTGTAGGGGCCTTCGGAGCCCTCTTGGGCCGACGGGCGAAAGAGGGCATTCTAGAGTCTCGTTCGCCCCGAAACACTGCCGCCTGTCAATTTCTTCCGCAAGACATCTGCGCGCATGTTGCAGCGGCGGGGCAACCGAGAAGTTCTGAGCAAATTCAGCGCCCGATTGCACGAAGGGCCATTCCCATTCCAAGCTCCGCTCGAGGCACCTACTATCGCACTCAGAGAGGCTCGGGAAGCGCAAGTGGCGCCATCAGTTCTAGAACGGCGAACGAATTCTAGAACGCACAACGAAAGTGTATAATCACCGAGTGCGTTCGATCAATGCAAAACTATGCATTCGAGAACGGAACACAAAAGTCTGCCGTTTCGGATGCGAAAAAGGTTTGCCAAATCTAGGTATAGAACCTATAACGGCAAAACAGCTCGAGAATGAAAATATGAATCTAAGAACATCGCGAACGGTTCTGGAGTTGCGGAATATCTTTGGTGGAGGCCATCCACGTGTTCTTTTGTGTTGCGGGCACGCCCGCATGTTCAGGCAGACGCTTCGCATGCTCGGGGAGGACAAGTACCCCATTTGATCGTTCCATGGGGGGGACAATTCCATTAAGGAAATGATGTGTATCCGATCGTGCGGGGGCGCCACAGTGGTATACAGTAGGCAGCTCAAATAAGAAGCAGGCCTGTCAGCAGGTGTCCCACGGAAGCTTCTTGTCCTCCGATGGCACTTGGTGCCCAAATCGTCCTTCTCTTCGTTACTTTTTCTTTTATGTATACTCCTTCTCTTCTCTGTCTCCTCCCCCTTCTACTCCCCCTCCCTACCTTCCTCAGCACAACGCTGCACGTAATGACGCCGATACGCACCATGCGATTCATCCCAGAGGTCACCAAGCCATTCGACGAATGGATCTTCGAGGAGCTCCAGTTGCCAAAGGACGTCAAGCAGCGTCGCCTTGACGAAGCAAGAAACGTTGCCCCCTTGGGCCCTCTTGGAGTGTTCATGGCGGCCGCATGAGGCGTGTTTGGGCCCCAAATGGGCTCCTCTTCCGGCTCTCCTGGACGGTTTGGGGGCCATCTTGAAGTTCCAGAGACGCATCGAGAGCGAAACGGCGAAAAGTTCAAAATCATCCGAACACGGAAAGCATCCGTAGTCCTTTGAGCGACGAAAGTTCGTTTGCGCCGACATTCGAGCGCAAGTTGCCCGCGCCAGGTCGCGCGTAGGCGCCCTCGTCTCCAGTCTAGCGTGCCGCGCTGGCTGTCCACGTAAGGTTCGGCGTAAGGTCGCTATGCCATCTCGCCTAAGACACTTTGGTTTCGTCGCCCATTTTGGTTCAAGCAGCTCTCGTGTCCAGTAAGCTTGCTAGGCCTGGTTTTCCCCAGCGGATCCACCAATGAGCGGGCCGGAGGCCGATGGAAGCAAGGAGGTATCGTGCGTCTTCTTCACGTCTGTTGAGGAATTGTGTGCTCATGTGGGATCGCGAAGAGCACCTATCTCGGCGGCGAGCGAGGGGGGGAAGTGAGAAGGAGAAGATCCTCTCAGAACGCGGTGGGGCTTCTCAGAAGCCCCTCCGGCCTTCTGAGAGGTTTCCCGTGTTTTCAGGGAAGGCTTCGAAAATTGTTCAGAAGGCCAGGGGACGTCCGAGCCTTCCAAGAAGGCCCGCCCCTTCTCACCTCCCCCCAGGGCGCGCCGCCGACTATCATCACTCTCGGCCAGAATTTGCAGCCAGACGGCTCCGCGTCGGAGACGCTGTTGAACAGGCTGGATCTTGCGCTCGACCTGCAGCGCCGCACCTTGGCACCGATCATCGTCACTGGGGGTGACCCGGCGGGGGTCGGCGAGACAGAGGCGGCCATGATGCATCGGTTGTTGGATGAGCGGGCAGGCGCCGACGCGTCGCCAGAGGTTCTGGAGGAGCCCGAGGCCAAGAGCACGATCGAGAACGCCTTGTTCACGGCGCCGATCTTGCGCGGCTTGCAGGCCGAGGTGGCCATCTTGCTAACGAGCGAGTTCCACTTGCCCAGGTCGGCGTTGCAGTTCGAGAGCACGTTCGCGCACAAGGGTCTTCGACTACACGTAAGAGTGACCTTTCGCCGGAGTGACCTTTGGTGCGGGCCCATTGGGGTCCCTGATCGCCGAACGGGAGGCTGCAGTGGCGTCTTGCGCGCTTGTATTTGGTCCCCCGCGGCCCCCAAAAAGCCGCGCACCAAAGGTCACTCTTACCCAGGGTCACTCTCACGCGTAGCCGAGGTCTGGCGGTCACGTTGCTCTGCGTGGCGGCACCCAGCGGCCATCCGCGGCTGCCGTCCCGCACGCCGAGGCCCTGGGAGAGCTCGGGCCTAGAGCTAGCCGCCTTCAACATCCCGCAGCACCTGAAGAACGGCGGGGAGGACATGAACTTCTGGTACTTCGCGGAGCGCGTCGAGTTTGAGCTCATCCTGCTGAACAACAAATTCGGGCCGCAGCTCTCCTCTCTGGTTGACGCAGATGGGGGTCCAGCTGCAAGGGGGCGGTGCAAGAGATCTGGCGCAATGGACTTGTGGGGTTGCAACAGATCTGGGGCGTGCAATACATTCTGGGCCGCATTGCTGGAGTTCCGCGTGCAACACACGAGTTGCAGCACAATGCCATGCATTTCTCTGGCGCAGTGCAGTTGCAGTACAGTTGCCCCAAATCTGCTGCACCACACCCTTTCAGCTGGACCCCCTTGTGGGTCAACCAGATCCTCGCTGGGCATCCCGCTGCCGCCGGAGGCCCGCATCGAGGAGGTGCGCGCGCAGCTGCGAGAGATCCTCGCAGCCGCGGTGAGCGAGCCCGGGCCTCCCCCATCCCAGAGCTGACCGCACTACGGGAAAAAAAAATGCTGACAAAGGCAAGAGGGAGAAAAATGACCACGCTCAGAGGAAGAAGATGTACCAATACTGCTACCTTTCCCTCGCTTTCCCTTCTTTTGGGCCTCCTGGGAGGCCCTCGTCGCCACCGCCCGATTCGCCTCGAAACCCTTGTCAGAGCGCACCCCGGGAGAGGTCCAGGGAGTAACGGTATCGGTACCGTTAAGTTCCCCCAGAAGAAAAAGGATCGGAAAGATCGGAATGGGGATATGAAGAAGACCAACAGAAGTTCCTGCCCATTTTGAACAGGATTCGCTGTCGGTGTCTCCAGGCCTCCCAGATGGGGTCCGAGTAGATGGGGTCGGAGGATCGCGCCGCATCACCCATGCATCGGCGATGCGGCTTGATGTAGAGCTCGAGTTTCTTCACGCCGACGTCGGCGATGCATCGCCGACGTCGCCCATGCATCGGCGACGCGTCGCGATCCTCCGACCCCATCTAGGAGGCCTCCAGAAGACCAACAGCGGTTCCTGGCCATTCTGAAATGATCGACCCACGAACCCGGAAAGGAATATAGAAATGTAACGCATGGCAGCGTTGTTCAAGACACACGATTGGGCAAATGCAATGCTGAGTGTATCGATCTTGATGTACCGTGCCGAGGGTTGTGTTGTGCTGCACCGTGCTGAATTGCGATGTGCCATGCCGCGGTTGTGCTCTATGGCGTCGTGGATCGAGTCCTCCTTTGCATCCGAGTCCTGACCGAACTGATCTGGATCTTAAGCTCGAGCTGCCTGAACACATAGTAGCTGTCCCAGAGCTAATTGACAGGGGGGCATGCCAGAAGGACGCGCCGCGAAACGTCCCAAGGGACGCGCCAGGCGACGTGCCAAGGGACGTGCCATGGGGTCGCACCGCGGGACGTGCCAAGGGGACGCGCTACGGAACGTGCCAATGGATGTGCCACGGGATGTGCCAGGGGACGCGCCACGCGACGTGCCAGGTGGATTCGCCAAGGGACGCCCCACGGAACGTGCCAAGGAACGTGCCAAGTTGCAATGCTGAGTGTATCAATCTTGATGTACCGTGCAGAAATCTGTGCTGTGCTGCGCCGTGCTGAATTGCGATGTGCCATGCCGCGATGGTGCTCTATAGCCTCGTGGATCGAGTCATCCTTTGCATCCGAGACCTGACCGAACTGATCTGGATCTTAAGCTCGAGCTGCCTGAACACATAGTAGCTGTCCCAGAGCTAATTGACAGGGGGACATGCCAGGAGGACGCGACGCGGAACGTCTCAAGGGACGCGCCAAGCGACGTGCCAAGGGACGTGCCATGGGGACGCACCGCGGGAGGTGCCAAGGGGACGCGCTACGGAACGTGCTGGGGACAAGCGTTTCGTTCGAGACATCCTGTCAAAATCCTCAGAATTCCTGCGCGCGGGACGCGGCACGCGCGAGACACCCTCGGAATTCTTGCGAGCGGGACGTGAAAACAAGCATTTCGCCTGAGACATCCTCTGAATTCTAGCCCCCCACGAGGCCCCCGCTCGAGACTTCCCCCAATTTTCCAAAACCAGCGTTTCGCTCGAGACATCCTCCAAAAATTATGAAAACAAGCGTTTCGCTCGAGACATCCCCAACTCTGCAAAACCAACGTTTCGCTCGAGACATCCTCAACAAAGTCTGAAAAACAAGCGTTTCGCTAGGGACATCCTCAAAAATAATTCCGCCGGCCCTACTCCCGCACGTAATTTATCGCAGAATAATTTCGCCGGCCCATCAGCCGTCAGATCCGGGGGTAAACCTCTAAAAGAGAACCCTGGGCTCGAGCCCTTTCCGGGAAATAGAGAGAGAGAGAGAGAAGGTGAGAGAGAGTGAGAGAGAGAGAGAGATCTAGAAAGAGAGAGAGAGAGGGAGAAGGGAAAGCGAGACAGAAATAATTCGAGAAAGAAATTGAGAGAGAAGGAGAGACAGAAAGAGAGAGCAAATGTTGAAAATATGGAATTGCAGGCGGACGCGAAAGGCGCCGCGCTGGCGCCGGCTTCCGAGCGGAAGCCCTTGCGGAGGCGCGGCAGCGGCTGCGCGCGGGGGTGGGGAGGAGGGGGATCGAGGATCGAGACTCGAGGATCAACGCAACGTTGATCAAGTTTTTTGCCCTGCGCAACGGGGCACCAAGTTTCCGACACACGATAATATTCAGCTGCAGGTTCGGCCTTGAACACACGCAGTGCGTTGGGCTCCTTGTTCGAACTTGAGCTTAGGATTCTAGGATTCGCGTGTGAACCAGGAGAGGCTTTAGGAGGTTCAGGGAGGATATGGGGCCCCAAAACCAAAGATGGCCTTGACCAGAAACACATGTGTTATTGCATGTTTGTATGCTTGCGTTGCAATGTTGTTCTTCGTTTCAGCATCTTTATTTGCGCTTGAGCTTAGGCATCGGGGCGCCGCTTGAGAGTCAGGAGGGGATTGAAGAGGTTCAAGGAGGGATTGGTACCTAGATCCAACGACGACCATGATCAGAAACACCGTTTTTGTAGCATTGCAGTTTTTTCATTGCGCACCTTTGTTTGGGATGATTGTTTTCAGCGTGAGCTTAGGATTTTGGGCTTTTCGTATGAGTCGGGAGAGGATTGAGGAGGTTCAGGGACGGCTCGGTGCGTAAAGCCAGCGACGACCATGAACAGAAACACAATTTCTGTGGCATTGCAGCTTTTTCGCTGCGCACCTTCGATTGTGATTTTTTGAAATAGCGCTTTCTGTCGGTGCTGGCAGGGGGGGGTGTTCAACCTCCCACCCCTCCAAAACAAGGTGGGGCAAGGGGGCGTTCCGAATTCCCCCCCCCTAGGGGAAAATAGTTGAGGATGGTCGAGCCCCCCCCCCCAGGCAAATTAGTTGGAGGGGATCGAAGACCCCACCTACAACATGATCGACCCACGAACCCAGAAAGGAATATAGAACTGTAACACATGGCAGCGTTTTCAAAGACACCTGATTGGGTGACGGGCAAATTCAATGCTGAGTGTATCGATCTTGATGTACCCTGCCAAGGGCTGTGCTGTGCTGCGCCGTGCTGAATTGCGATGTGCCATGGCGCGACTCGCCCTTATAAGCGTTTCGGGTTGGGAGAAAAATTTTTTTTTTCGGGCGTAACGGGTGTCCTCCCTTGCATACGAAGGTCCTGACCTAAATGATCTGATCTTAAGCTTCGAAGCTGACCTGAACACATAGTAGCTGCCCCAGAGATAATAGACAAGAGGGAACATGCCAGGAGGACGCGCCGCGAAAACGTCCCAAGGGACGAGGGCACTGCGGCCAGGGCGGACCGGCCAGGGGACGCGCACATGGGTAGCACCGTAGGACGTGCCAAAGGCGACGCGCTATCGGACGTCGCCCAATGGCATGAGCCCACGGAATTGGTGCCAGGGGGCACGCCGCCACGCGACCCGTGCCAGGGGGACAGACGCCACGGGACCCCCACTGACAAGTGCCAAGGAACGTTGCCAAGTGCCAATGCTGAGGGTCTATCGATCTTGATGTACCTTGCCGAGGGCTGTGCTGTGCTGCGCCGTGCTGAATTGCGATGTGCCATGGCGCGATTGTGCTCTATAGCCTCGTGGATCGAGTCCTCCTTTGCATCCGAGTCCTGACAGAACTGATCTGGATCTTAAGCTCGAGCTGCCTGAACACATAGTAGCTGCCCCAGAGCTAATTGGCAAGGGGAACATGCCAGGAGGACGCGCCGCGAAACGTCCCAAGGGATGCGCCAGGCGACGTGCCAGGGGACGTGCCATGGGGTCGCAACGCGGGACGTGCCAAGGGGACGCGCTACTGAACGTGCTGGGGACAAGCGTTTCGCTCGAGACATCCTATCACAATCATCAGAGTTCCTACGCGCGGGACGCGGCACGCGCGAGACATCCTCGGAATTTCTGCGAGCGGGACACGAAAACAAGCATTGCGCCTGAGACATCCTCTGAATTCTGGCCTCCCACGAGGCCCCCGCTCGAGACATCCCCCAATTTTGCAAAACCAGCGTTTCGCTCGAGACATCCTCAACAAATCATGAAAAACAAGCGTTTCGCTTGAGAAATCCTGTCAAAACCCAAAGAAATCAAAATTCCTGCGAGCGGGACGCGGCACGCGCGAGACATCCTCGGAATTCCTGCGCGAGGAGCGCTTTTCCGTGTCGCGGTCGGCTCTGCAAAACCAGCGTTTCGCTCGAGACATCCTCAACAATTTCTGAAACCAAGCGTTTCGCTCGAGACATCCCCAACTCTGCAAAACCAGCGTTTCGCTCGAGACATCCTCAACAAATTCTGAAAAACAAGCGTTTCGCTAGGGACATCCTCAAAAACATGATGGACCCACGAACCCGGAAAGGGATATAGACATGTGGAGCATGGACACGTTTTCACGATACCCAACTGGGCAACACCTCACGAAACATCCCACGAGACACTTCAGGAAACATCCCACGAGACACCTCACGAAACATTCCACGAGACACCTCACGAAACATTCCACGAGACACCCCGCGAAACATTCCACGAGACACCCCACGAAACATTCCACGACGACAGGCAACCACTCACCCCAGGCGGTGTGGTCGTGCTGGGGAGTGGTCGTGCTGGGGTGTGGTCGTGCTGGGGGGTGGTCGTGCTGGGGGGTGGTCGTGCTGGGGGGGTGGTCGTGCTGGGAGGTGGTCGTGCTGGGGCGTGGTCGTGCTGGGGCGTGGTCGTGCTGGGGCGTGGTCGTGCTGGGGTGTGGTCGTGCTGGGGTGTGGTCGTGCTGTGGTGAGGTCGTGCTGGGGTGTGGTCGTGCTGGGGTGTGGTCTTGCTGGGGTGGGGTCGTGCTGGGGTGGGGTCCTGCTGGGGTGTGGTCGTGCTGGGGTGTGGTCGTGCTGGGGTGGGGTCGTGCTTGGGTGGGGTCGTGCTGGGGTGTGGTCGTTCTGGGGTGTGGTCGTGCTGGGGTGTGGTCGTGCTAGGGTGGGGTCGTGCTGGGGTGGGGTCGTGCTGGGGTGTGGTCGTGCTGGGGTGTGGTCGTGCTGGGGTGTGGTCGTGCTGGGGCGTGGTCGTGCTGGGGTGGGGTCGTGCTGGGGTGGGGTCGTGCTGGGGTGTGGTCGTGCTGGGGTGGTCCGCACCCTGTGATTTA